GCACCTTGGGCAAAATGGCTTGATTGCTGCTATGCGCCAGAGGTATTGGTTGCTGAACGCCCGTTCAACCATCCGGCACGTGACCCGCAATTGTGTAAGATGTTTCCGCACAAATCCAAATATGTCAACGCAGCTGATGGGCAATCTTCCTCAACCGAGGATAAATCCAGCACCTCCGTTTGCAGTGACTGATGTCGACTACGCCGGCCCAGTTTGGATCAAGATGGGAAATTACCGATCCAGGCTCATCAAGGCTTACGTGGCAGTATTTGTTTGCATGGTAACAAAAGTAGTACATCTAGAGGTTGTGTCTGATCTCACATCCGACGCCTTCATAGCTGCGCTACAACGGTTCATCAGCCGAAGAGGAATGGTGCAACAGTTGCATTCTGACAATGCCACCAACTTCCGGGGAGCTCAACACGAGTTGCACCAGCTATATCAACAGTTCCAGGATCAGCAGTTCGCAGGACGTATCCAGTCCTTCTGTTAGCCAAAGAAGATTGAGTGGCATTTCATACAGCCGAACGCAACCGAGTTCGGTGGCTTGTAGGAGGCCGCTGTAAAATCGACAAAGAGACATTTGGCAGAGTGGTTGGCTATTCCAAATTGTCATTTCAAGAGCTAACAACCATACTCACCGAAATCGAAGCAGTTCTCAACTCTATGCCACTGTTTTCGATTTCCTCCGATCCAGTCGACATAGAGGTAATTACGCCAGTTCATTACTTGATTGGTAGACCACTTAAAGCCGTTCCGGAACCATCCCTTGAAGTCGGAGACGAGCCAGCCAACGGCTAAAGTCTCCTTAATAAAGATATATAAAAAAAAAACCATCCCTTGAAGACATCCAAATTAATCGTCTAAAAAGATGGCAACATCTACAGAAGATGCGTGAGGATTTCTGGAAATCTTGGTCCAGAGATTATTTGTGCAGCCTTCAACCGAGGTCAAAGAATACCAAGACGACAACCAACCTTCGCCCAGGAATGGTAGTTCTACTGGAGGACAAAAATCAACCACCGCTTAACTGGAAGCTAGGCCGCATCATGCAGGTATTCCCAGGGCCAGATGGATTGGTCCGAGCCATCGATGTGTCGTCTAACGGAGCTACCTACCGACGACCGATCAACCGGATCGCAGTTTTACCGATTGAGGACAACGAGCCACCAACCCTGAGTGATGTCTACGAATCAATCGGGCGGAGTATGTTCCGTGCGAAACAAGCTATAGTAGCTTCCAAAACACAACGCAAACGATCGTCACACATCGTTTTTTTTAAGTATTATTCCGACCACCATCCAAGTTACATCAAGTGAAGTAAGAAAGCAATCTGTAGAGAAATAGTGAACTAGTTAGAATAAAAGTAGTGTTAAGGTGATAATTTGATTAGTGCGTTGAATGTTTCAATCCGACAGAAATACAGTTCACTTCCCACCCACCGGAGTTGGGCCACGGTAAACGCGCCAACAGATTGGAAATAGGAATAACTTTTCGTTCGTCAAAACAAAACTTTATTTTTCTCGTATAGGTGCGAATGTTACTTTCGACATAAAGAACATTTGCTTTTGAAATGAAGTGCATTATAATTGAATGTGATTGCAGCATTACTACACCATTAAAAACTTTTAACCATGCAGCACACATGAATGTAGCTTTTAAGTTAGTTAACACTAACACCACCACCATCGGTGACGGCTTCAGCGAGTGCTAGTCTTGCCAGGGATGTGGTGGCGGTCTGCATTTAAGTTTGAGATACTTTTCTTTACTATTAATTCAGAGGGTCTAACTTTCCTTAATTTAATTTCAACCGCTAGAAAGTTTATATTTTTTAATTAAATGTTTTAGGGGCAATTCAAAAATTACATCCACATTTTTTTAAGTACAACCAGGCATGGGAAATCATTTACATTCATTTGCCTCTAACTTTTTTCATCATTCATCATCGTTCATTCCGCAAAATAATGTATAGAGCTTTTGTAGGTTTTGTTATTAGCTACAACTTTTGTTAAAAACTCAAATCTGTATCTCTTATGCATGACGAACCAGAGCAAAAAAATGAATTTCCATGCATGAGTACAACGTACATACCTAAATTGATCGCTCGCAGACGACTGTCTCTCAAAACGTCTTTTTGCCGGACGAGATCCAGAGCCAAAATAAAAAAGATTAAGCTGAATAAGGCGCGTCAAACAGAAGTTCCTGCAAGTCCGGGGCTTCATTATAGAAGCCTAAAATGAAGCGTTTTGGTATGAACGAAAGGCTTAAATTTGAAGCATAGGCTGTGATAACAACCCGTAAACGTACGAACAAAATGTGTATGAATGTAACTGTATGAAACTTTATTCCTTCGATTTCTTCTTCTTCTTTTTCTTTTCCGATTTTGGCGTCTCAGTGATTTCTTCCTGGGAGACTTCCTCGTGCATTAATGCTTTTTCTGCTTCTTGCGGCTTTTTCTTTTTCTCGGTGTGTACAATTTCTTCGTCTTCAGTTTTTACTGTCATCAAAGCTTGAGCACTTTCAACGTCCTTGAAATTAGAACGATATTTTGTTTAATTTTTTGTCGCTAAGCATAAATTGCTACTTACCTTCTGCTTCTTTTTCTTTTTCGTCTTAGATGACTCTCCAGCAATCGATTTGTCTGATGGTTCATCCTCGACTTCGTCACCAATTTCAATACCTTCTGAAAGCTTGCGTTTCTTACCGATGGGAAGAGTGCTGTCTTCCCCGATTTTGAATACCTTTACCTCGCTTTTAGAGTGGTACTTTTCTAGCTTAGACTTAGCTTTGCCGGTACCAGAAAGTCGCGACAGATTGCCTTCTTCCAGCATACGTAAACGCATTTCCAGTTTTGCACGGTGTTCAGTACCTAACTCCATAGTCACATCTTCGCCGAAGGCATCGACACGTGTTGCTAGAGAGGCTTTGGCCGCTAACGATCGGGAAATTTTGCCTTTATTTTTGGCACTAGCTGAACCAATCAAACTAGCATGAAAAATGATACCGTACTTGGGAGTGTCTTTCTTAGTTTTAAGTGCTCGGAATAGAGCCTTTTCGGCACCTAGAAGAAAGTTGAAGAAAAACCATTAAACTCTGGATCCTTTATATGTATGGTTTATATTGACGTTGCTGTTATCAGCCTTGGCTTAAATGGATAAATAACAAAGTACTGTATCCTCAATATACTGGAGTCGATAAAATTTATATTATTTATTAGAATTAATCTGATATTAATTCGATAAACACAAAACAAAAAGATAATATGCTCACTTAATAAATAATACATAAATAGGGAAAAAACTACTTTTATCTGACTAGTGTACACACCGAATGGGCATCATTTAATTACCTAAAATCTGCACAGTCGACGCAGGATGTTTAGCCAGATTTACCAGCGACCCGGCATGTGCGATGAGACGTGCTCCAATGGTTTCTCCAACCAACACTGTCAAATTTGGAGCCATGGCCATCATCCGTGTCTTCAGGTAATCGTATAAATGTGTACGATACTCATTGATGGATAGGATTTCATCGCACAAGTTTTGTATATTTACAATATCTTCTTCCGAAATTTCTGTTCCCATGGAAATTTCCGCTGCTTCTTTAACCTTTTCTTCCAACTCGTCGGGCAAGATATCAGAGAGATCCGTGGTGGCCATGTTGTCACGAGTTCCAACTAGTTTTATGGTTTTAATAAACGCAATATTATCCGTCAGAATTTTTCCTAGTTCTGGAAAATGCCAACCAAACCTGGAAAAGCGACATTGATCTTATTTAAACGATGTATCAATAGAACTTTTATAATATCGGAGTACATCATCAGTACAAAACGCTTTTATCAATAAAGGACATATTTAGATGTCCATTTGCAAAGCACAGACATCATATAAAACGTACTCATAGAATTAAGATGAATATAGATGGTTTTGTTGCATATTGCCGCTGTTCGCGTATCAAATCCTTGTAAATAAGAATTCCACAGGGCATGACACTGTTATGCGAATTGCGACAGTACACATATGGTTAATATTTGCAAATAAGAAACTTACCATTCTCTAGCGCGCATCATGTAATTATTCAGCTCCTTATCTAGATCATCTAGAAGGCATTGCGCCTGCACAATCATGGTGTCAATCTTATCCGGTGAGAATTTTAGCTTATACCGAGACAATGAATGAGCCAAACCCAAAGCCATTGCGGCCATCTCCTTTTTGGGCAATCCAGAAAGCAAACTTTCCGATTGAGAACGAATGCAGCGCATTAGCTCTTGAACAGCGGTATTGGATACACATTGCAAGGCCAGTTTATCCTTGATGGCACTTCCTAATTTTGCATCGGCTACAAGCAACTGATTTTGAACATCATCAGATACGAGCTTTTTAAGGGTTTTCTTGAGCGGTTTAGAAAGTTTCCCTTCAACCGCAGCCGTGGCAGCAGATAGTGCTTCAGTTGTATCAGCAAATTTTTCAAAATGCTTTAACTTGACTCTATAATGAAAAAAAAAGAACATGTTATGTTGATAAACCTAGCGCTCTTGATTTTCTGCGACAGTCAGGAGAATATTTATGTGGGGGGAAGCGGCATAATGAACACCTTAAGCAATGTACACATTTTTTGGTGCCTTAAAGCAACAAAATTTAAAATTTTAAGGCTTCTATACTTCAATATAATGCTATTCGTTTATGACATGATGGTTCAGTGTGAAATTAGTTGATTTTGACCTGTAAAAATACAGTTTTCAGATTGATGAACAACGGTACGATATTTTAGAGGTACGGGCGAGTTGAGCACCCCCATGGAGAATAATGAGCATATCTACAAAAACCACCATTGGAATAGATAGAACAACTACCGCAGGAATCGCAAAGTGGATATTGCAACTAATGTGCACCATTTTTGTATGTGCCCATTTCACCCTGTCTAGAAAAAATATTCTTGACTCATATTATTTAAAATATGAAATATTGTTCGCCGCTGGCCGTTTCAAGCTATAGCATAGGTAATCGAATGGCATACTTTTAAAAAATCACAATTTTTGGTGTAAATACAGAAATTTTTAAAATATGTCTATATGGACCATAGCATGCTATAATTACGAATGGCATCAAAATCCGATTTATAAAAAAATATTTAGGCACATGAAAAATCAAAATCTCGGTAGTTTTTTTTACGCGGCACGTACCCCCCACGTAAAAAGCGACTCCAGTGTAGTTGGTAAATATTATAATACTTTGTGGTCACAACAACACGCAGAAAAATGGATTTTTGTTTCAGGGCTTAATGTACTTTGTTATTGATTCAAACATATTGTACCACTAATTCAACAAAACATATTTTTAAATAAACAAAATGGTTTTTAGAATCAACAAACAGAGTATTGACTCTACAACCGGTTTGTTGATTCAAAAATATTTTTCTTTGAATTAGCCGAATAATATATTTGAATCAATAACAAAACTATATTAGGCCCTGAGCCAAAAATATATCCATTTGAATTTAAAAATCATTTCTCTGCGTTAACAATTGTTTTGAGGTTGTTTTAAAAGATAAGAATTCTCATATTCAAGTGCTTTTTTGTGGGATGTTTTAACTGGTTGATTTTTCACTGATTCGCGCACTATTCGGAGAAAGCTAATTAATCGTGGTAGTGTACGATGAATATTCAAAAGATAGTCGTTTATTTCGTATGAAAAATATTTTTTTATAAACTGAATAAATAATTGTTATTAGAGAGAGTGTTGATCTAAACAGAGAATTCTGGAGCATTGTTCATTCTTCAGTTTTGGTTGATATTGATAAGCATGTCTTGAAAATATTCAACAATCACGGATATCGGATTAAAGTCATGTGGTGGAGACCAAGTGTTTATGACCCACTTTTATTAATGGTACGTTATATCAGTACGCAGTAGAAACGAAGGAACGTAGCGGAAATATTAACTTTAAGGTATTTCCTGGTTCTCGGTTGGTGAAAAGAAAGTAAAGCACAGCATTGTTCTACTTTTACCAAAATGTTGATTGAAGCAGAAAATAAGAAAAAAAATCTGATGGAAATGCAATCAAAGAATGCAGAAACTCGCGGAAAACGTAAATATTATTTCCGAAAGAGTTAACTCAAATCAATTACTTCTAAACGAGATAGAAACAATAACGACAATTTTAAACACAGATGTCATTAATAATTTACTCGAGCAAATTCAAGATGCAATAATTTGGTCAAAAGCTTCAATCACAAACAGTAAGATCCTAAGTTTTCATGAAATAACAACAATCAAAGCCATGCTTCAAGAACAAGGCATAACAGCTGATCTACCAGACGATGCCCTAGAGTTCGTCGTACCCAAAATCGCCATCAATAGAAAAACGTTACTGTATATTCTACAATTCCCTCAACTGGAAAATGCGATATCATCTTAGCGAATGCGAAGTGGAAGTCTTAGCATAAGACTGTTGCGTAGTGATCGAGGTTGAGAATTAATGTTCACTTGTTGCAGAATTGCTTCTATTCTTCCTTGCAGGCGACGAAAACATCTCTTCTGATACATAAGGGCTCGACATTGATCAATTGGCAGCGATTCTCGTAGCTTGGAAGACGAAGTGGGTATCTCCAAAGCAACTTACGGAGCGCGAAGCGAAGAAAACGTCGTTGCACAGATTCAATTCGCTCGGCCCCATTATTGGAGTTCGGGCTCCAGACTGCAGAGCAGTATTCCAACGTAGATCGCACGAGAGAGCAATAGAGCGATTTCAAGCAGTAAATGTATGTGAAGTTCTTAGTAATCTGTTTATTGTTTATTGTTGTTTTACATCAACAGGCTGGATGAAGCCCCAATGATTTTAACCTTATCAACTATGGTAAAAAAATTCATTCAAGCATGGTCATAACATAAAAAAAAAACATTAAAAAACATATATCTTATAGTCAGTTACTCCTGCCGGCGATAAACAGAAGAAAACTTTCGACGAAGCGCATCACGGGAGAGATGAAAGTCGAAAACAGATGCAATTCTGTTGAATGTTCTCTGCAGTCCGCAAATCGTTCCGTACGCTCCATAATTTGTGCGACGTAGAGGCAGTCTTAGTATAAGGTTATTACGAAGCGGAAGACAAAGCCAAGATTTCTGAACGCTTTGTCGATGACATACTTGGTGTGAGTATGTCAGTTTTGAGTCTAGTAGTCTAGAGTCATGCCTAGTAGTTTGTAGTTGAAAATAAACAGAAAACACAAAAAAACTACAAGGACAGATTCAACAACATTTTTTTCCTTGATTTTTTCCGTCGATCTTGTTTTCCGTATGAGTAACAATGCTCCGACACCAGGGAGGCAGCTCACACACCTGTCGACCCATCAACTCATAGACCTGGGAACAACGACTTACTTCCATGATCAGAGATTTTATGCCCCAGAAAATCCCGGCGCCGCCGACTGGAATTGAACCCAGGCCTTTTGGGACAAGAGGCAATCACGCATACCACTACACCACCGACGCCGTTAATCTAAACAATAGTTGAAAAGAAAAGAAAAACCTAATAATGGATAGATACTTATCAACTAGCAATAATCGCACCTCGGTTGTACCTCACTGGTTACGATAACGCCACTGTGCAAAGTTTAATGGATAGATAGTAGGGTAGAGAACTACTTCTGCCTAATCGCCCATTTTGGGCCTATCGAGCAGAAAACTTCAAATAAATCCATGATTTCAGAGTTAACAAGTCAATTATGCGTTTGGTACGATATTTTAGTTTATAAGCTACCGAACGAAGTCAATGAGAACGCGTGATATTAAGGTTTGCACCCATTATTCCCATAAACAAAAGAAGCGCTTCGACCGAATCATGTTTTATCTTCATCCGATAGGCCGAAGTGAATTCATTGGCTTTTCAATGGTGTTTCATTGCGTTAGGCCGAGTTTGGCGTCAAGAAGCAGTGTTAGACTTTTGACAATATCTCAACGATTAGCTTCTCTTTAGGAGTGTTCACTCGGCTGTCGACAAAAGCAGGCTACTCTCGATGTGTGCTACGCGATCGTCTGTTTTCTCGGCAGCAACCATTGTGTGGTCCTCCTCATTGTTCTTCATCAGCAGTTCTTTCGGTCGATGCGTCGTCGACTTTGGAAAGCAATCGTTTCGTGATGTGAGTGCTGACCACGCTCTGACCCTCGTTGGCGTACAACAATTTGCCATACAATGAAACTACTGGAAGCGGCTCCAGTTCTGATGGAGGAGGCTTTTTGGATAGCGGAAGATAAAGTGTTTATTGTGTTGTACCTTTTGACTATAATTTTAAGATGTATTTTATAGTGACCAAGAATTCTCGGCTCTGTAAAGTTAATTCGGTTGAGCCTTATCAAATAAATTAACAAACAAAAAAAAGCTTCTCTTTATCAAATCTTACGGAAAGGTAAATATTTTTTTTTTTTTTTCCTTTGGTTTGTTTTTTCCGTCGATCTTGTTTTCCGTGCTGAGCACCAATGCTACCGACGTGCCAGGAAGGCAGCTCCCACACCTGGACCCTACCTATCGACCCATCAACTCATGAACCGGGGACCAACGGCCTTACTTCCCATCCGAAGGAAGGCGTGATCAGAGATGTTATGCCTCAGAACATCCCGGCGGCGCCGACTGGGATTGAACCCAGGCCTGCTGGGGTGAGAGGTAATCACGGGTAAATAAATTTGAAAGCCATAAGTAATAATAACATTCCGTTTGGTGCTAAACTGCGCTAAAATGAGAAAGACTAAGTGCGGGTTGTGCTTAATAGGCCGGAAATGGGCTAGTTAACCCTACCTAACAACTATAAGAATAATAACAACAAGAAAAATAGTAATTAACTATGTAAATTTTCAAATCCGCAAAAAAAAAACACATGACAAAAAAAAAATCAAACTTACGTTCAAAACGTAATGCGCTACAGAATGTTGAAAATGAACAAAAAATGCCTAAAACGACTTGCAAATGCTAAGTAACAATAAAATAATAGTTATTGAAAATTATTTGAATTAAAATTTCTGTTTTTTTTTGCCGCCAACATTCAATAGTTTTTACTACGATCTGAACTATCTCGAAACGAATAATCACTATTAGAGAAAGATTAAAGTCTAACTATATTTAACTGTTTAAAAAAAGGAAAAGGATGAAATATTACAAAGCTCTTATTATCAAATCTATCTTCTATCTATCTATATATATATAAAAATGGATTTCTGTCTGTCTGTCTGTCTGTCTGACCCTTATAGACTCGGAAACTACTGAACCGATTGGCGTGAAAATTTGTATACAGGGGTTTTTGGGGCCGTGGAAGGTTCTTAGGATGATTCGAGACCCCTCCCCTTCTGTAAGGGGGGGCTTCCATACAAATTAAACAGAAATTTCTGCATAACTCGAGAACTAATCAAGCAAATGGAACCAAATTAGGCATGTGGGGGCGAGTGTGGGGGTATAAGGAGATAATCATAGGGGGTAGCCCCTTAGATAATAGGGGGGGG